GTCAGTTCTGATTTGTCCCAGCTGTGTTTCCCTCCTGTTACTCAGTCCCTGATTGCTCCCTCTGTGTATTTAAGCCCTGTGTTTCTCTGTGTCCGTGTCGCGATCTACCGTTTTCCTAGCTGTGTGTCCTGTCGTTCCTCCTGGTGTAAGTTTATTTTGATTTTTCCAGTTATGTTATATTTGAGTTTAACATTAAAGTTGTTTTGAGTTCACATCTGTCTCCGGAGTCTGCACCTTGGGTCCTATTCCTGCCTGCACACAGCCCTACCTAACAGAAGATCGCGACCAGAACATGGACCCTGCAGACTCTTCAGCTTTTGGATTCGATGCTGAGATGGAGCGGATGATTAGGCTCCTTGACCGCATTGCTCAGGCCAATGATTTGAGGACCATGGCAGTTGGGCTAAGTGCTGTGGATGCCATCATTCGGAGCAACCCTCGGCTTACTCAGTTTTCTATGGACACTGTGCTGGGCAGCTCCATAGCTGCCTGGAGGGAGCAAGTCAGGGCTGGCGAGCTTGCTCTCTCTACCTTCACTTCCACTTCTTCACCGCCGCCCCAGGACAACACACACTCACCACCTGCCTCGTCGCTACCTCAGACTGCCTCTCCTTCCTCACACCAGCCAGGACCTTGTTCGCCTGCCCATTCGCCTGCCTTTTTCCTGGCGGCCATGTGGTCGGATGAGGAGGAGGTCTCCGTATCTCCGCCAGTTTCAGTTCCCTCATCTAGAAGGAAGCGACGCCATCGTCACTCCTCTCCTCTGTCATCCGTCCAGCAATCTGCCTCCGCTGGAGGGTCCGAGGGACTGCTTCAGCCGTCTGTCTCCGCTGGAGGGTCCGAGGGGCCCGTTCAGCCTCCTGTCTCCGCTGGAGGGTCCGAGGGGCCCGTTCAGCCTCCTGTCTCCGCTGGAGGGTCCGAGGGGCCCGTTCAGCCTCCTGTCTCCGCTGGAGGGTCCGAGGAACCGCTTCAGCCACCTGTCTCCGCTGGAGGGTCCGAGGAACCGCTTCAGCCACCTGTCTCCGCTGGAGGGCCCGAGGAATCGCTTCAGCCACCTGTCTCCGCTGGAGGGTCCGAGGAATCGCTTCAGCCGTCTCTTCCTGCTGGAGGGCCCGTGGAGCCCGTTCAGTCTCACGCCACCTCAGCTGGAGGGCCCGAGGAGCCCATCCAGCCGCCATTAGCCTCTGCCTCGGCTACGCCTGGTCCAGCTTCTGCCTCGGCTTCTGCTACACCTGGTCCGGCCTCCGAGTCTGCAGTTCCACCTGGTCCGGCCTCAGCCTCTGCAGCTCCGCCTGGTCCAGCCTCCGAGTCTGCAGTTCCGCCTGGTCCGGCCTCCGAGTCTGGCAGCTCCGCCTGGTCCGGCCTCTGCAGCTCCGCCTGGTCCGGCCTCTGCAGCTCCGCCTGGTCCGGCCTCTGCAGCTCCGCCTGGTCCAGCCTCCGAGGGTTCAGTTTTGTCTGCCCCTGAGGTCTCCAATCTGTCTGTTCCCGCACGTCCCGCTCGGCCCGCCCGGCCTGCTCGTCCTGTCCGGCCTGCTCGTCCTGCACGTTCTGTCCGGCCGATGACTGGACGTCGTTGCCGTCATGGACAGCCCTCTGACCTACGCCGCCGTCATGGACGGCCCCCTGAACTACTCCGCCACCAGTGCCTCCCGCCCGGCCGGCCTCCTGACCTGCTCGGCCGCCGTCGGTTCCTCCCGCCCGGCCGGCCTCCTGACCTGCTCCGCCGCCGTCGGTTCCTCCCGCCCGGCCGGCCTCCTGAACTGTTTTCTGGGCTCTTGGACCATCAGCCTCCGGGCCGCCCCCCTGAACTGCCCAGGTTTGGACTGTTGTGCTGTCAGCCTCCGGGTCGGCCCCCTGAACATTTTGTGAACTGTTTTTCCTGGCCGTCTGCGCCTGTCGTGAGCCTGTTTTTTGTTCTGTTGCTTTCCGGGCTCCGTTGTTTGTTCTTTTTTTTGTTTCTGGCTCCTTGTTTGGTTTTGTTTCGTGCCGCCCACCCTGGTTCGGTTGTTTTGTTTTTTTTGGTTTTGATGTTTTGGTTTGGGCTGTCTGGAAGCCAGCCCTTAAGGGGGGGGGGGTACTGTTAGGATGCCTGGGTCGTTGACCCAGGGTTTTTGAGTTTATGATATTATTTATATTTTCTAGTTTTTTGGTTTCTTTGAGTTCTGTCTTATGGTTTATGTCTCTGTCTTCTTTAGTTGCTCTGTCTCCCCTATCACCTGCATCCCCTTGTCTAGTTCACGTCTCTGTGTATCCTTAGTTCCTATATCCCCGTGTTCAGTCAGTGTTTGTGTCTGCCCTGGTCCCACGTCTCTGTTCCCTCTGTAGTGCCTACAGGTGAGGCTGTGTCTTTGTTCAGTCTGTGTTATGTGTTTCCTGTTTTACTTTGAAGGTCTCTGTCTTTTCTCAGTGTGTTCAGTTTGCGCTTCTTTGGTCTCGTCAGTTCTGATTTGTCCCAGCTGTGTTTCCCTCCTGTTACTCAGTCCCTGATTGCTCCCTCTGTGTATTTAAGCCCTGTGTTTCTCTGTGTCCGTGTCGCGATCTACCGTTTTCCTAGCTGTGTGTCCTGTCGTTCCTCCTGGTGTAAGTTTATTTTGATTTTTCCAGTTATGTTATATTTGAGTTTAACATTAAAGTTGTTTTGAGTTCACATCTGTCTCCGGAGTCTGCACCTTGGGTCCTATTCCTGCCTGCACACAGCCCTACCTAACAATTTTATTTTCACTTACTGAACATGGGACAGACTTGACTGGAGGAAAGCAGGGGAGAAAGAAAGAGGGAAAGAGAAACAGCTGAGAAGAGGGACAGGGGAGAAGGGCAAAAGACAAAAACCAACAGAATGGGCAGAAAAAAAAATGCATATATCGATCACCTGGATCACCTGCTGAGAAAGAAAAAAGAAAGCAAGCAGAAGAGAACAAGAGTAATAGAATAAACAACATCACAATGATATATGGGAATATGACAGTAAATACTAAATATTAAACATTATTGTGCAGCACATAAGATCAACAGATGTGGGGGGGCCACAGCCCCATCCTCCAGGGTATGAAGCAGGTATGGAGGAGATCAAAACTCCAGACATCCAGAGGCCCCCAGAATACAAGAGACCAAGGAAGACCAACAGAGGGGCAGCCGCGCCACTGTCCCAGAAAGAGCTGAGGAGAGCCCCAGATGAGGGCTCACTCAGCAGCCGCGGAGCAGAAGCCAGGGGGAGTTGCAGTGACGCGCCCGTGAGCTCCGCCGGCAGCCAGCCGTGCCTGAGTGACCGAGCCCCGGGCCGGGGGCACCCCACCTCCGAAGTGGCCCGAGCGAGCTCCAGGCCCCGATAAGTGGCCGCCAAGGAGTGAGCCGGTGTGTACCTGGACGCCCATCCCCGGACACAAAGAACCACCAAGTGTCTCATCACTTCCAATGTGGATGCAGCTTAAGTAACCGGCCAGTAAAATTCTAGAATTTCACTCACCAAAACTGTAGCACTTATTTTCTGAATGTTGTAAACCGGGCTTCCTTTCACTTGTGAACACATTTCACCTCTCATTGAAGAGGATTCTTCAGTTCTAAAACCAGATTATGGAGTCCCAGTGATCTAGTTGGGTGAATCTGATCAGGCCTAGTGCACACCTGACACAAAAGGCAGCTACGCCCCTTCATCCAGGATCAATGAAGGGTCAGGCATCAGGCAGAAATCACAACAATTTCATTATGTGATGTGAAACTGTAAGTGCAGAGTGTACATGACTCTTACAGAAGGCAACACTATATTCACATTAAATGTGTGCTTAATATGTTGTATGTTACTAACTAGATTGTAATGTAATGTAATTTAAGGGTCTTTCAGGCTTTATGTGTGACGTGCTGGAAAGGCGAGTATATGCTTTAGAGCTACGTTGCATATTTTACTTTCTCTGCATTATAGCACACATTGCAAGTGACATGAAGATGAGTTGTTTGGTGTGAAAACAAGGCTCAGTGTGAAATAAACAGTAAACGCTTCAACTTGCCACATATCAAAATTCATGTCTTTGTCTGGAATTCAGTCTAATAAAATACAACCCTGGCTTATTTAACTGAATTACTGAGTCATAAACATAAGAAACTTGGAAATAGATAATGAGGAAAGTAACATTTCAAGCAGAAATATTTGTTTTATTTTTTTTCCAAGTATCACTCTATTAGTGTTCATCTTCAAAGTAAATACTTAAAAATAAATACAAAGCTTGGATAAAACCTGGGGGTATTGGTTACTCTTGCAGTTTTTCTAGAAACAAACCTGTCGAAGCATTATCTAAACTTTCATTTGAATAAGAATATGTTAACCCCAAAGGGGTCACTTTAAAAAAACTACTATATCACTGACACGTGCCACATGCCCATTTAAGCAGGTTACAAAAGTAGGCAAAACTCTCATTTTGTTGCACTCTGACTCTATCTCTGAAAAAATGCCATCATCTGCCGTCATCTCTGATGAACTTCAGGATTCTCTGCTTCTAGTGAGTTCCTGTTAGTTTGCCCCAAACCAAGAGATGGGGGTGGAAAGGACCAGTTGTGAAATATAACTTTAATTCCACTGATGAATCTAAATATGTTCTTTGAGAAAGAGGGGATCTGTGAGTTTCACGTGGTTGCCGGTAGGTAGCATAACAACAGCGGTGGCTGCAGTGACTCCTGACATGTTCTCAAAAGTTCTAAGTTTGGACATATGCTGTGTGTCCAGAGGGGGATACATCGAGCGCTTGCGGACGTTGTAAGTTCTGTATGTAAGCACCTCTTGAAATCGGATGATTCTTTTTGATACACTCAGTCTATAGTGTTACAGATAACGCTACTCAGAAGTACATACAGCATGTAAAATCAACATTAGAGTTTTACATTAACTAATCAGTCATTATAACATAACTTGTGTGATTCTGAATAAGAAGTACTTTTATTTGAGATACCTGAAATGTATATTATTATTTGTGCTTACTTATTTAAATGCATAAATTGCCACTTTGTGGCTATTTAATAACATTAAACTACTGCTAAAGAGGCTTTGGTGCCTGGTGCCTCTGTGATGTGCAGTGGGGAGTTAAACTCGGCAGAGGCTTTATTTTGAAACTTCTGGGCGGAAGTCCCCGTGAGCCTGCCTAGCTTGGCAGCTAGCCTGCGCAGCAAGTCTCCTTGCCGCCGCCGCTAAAACGGTTCAGTGCAGGACTTTCTCCTCCATCACTTCCTTCTACTGAGCAATGTGTTGTGAGGCAGGGGGGTGTGAGGAGCGCCACTCTTCACTGCTTCACGCGGCTCGGGAGCCATGGCGGAGGGGGTACTGAGGACGACCCAGCGGCCGGAGCACAGCGGGTCACCAGGAGCGGCTCAGCGCACAAGGAAGGACCCACGTTCTCACCTGCAGCTCAGCCTCTAGAACCGTTACTGACGGAATACAATGGTGACGTCTGCTAAACTTTTCCGCACATCCCCAGCTTTGGTCACGCGCGGCCGCTTTAACTTTTCACCAACTGGCAGTTGTCGATTCTCGATGGTATCGTAGCGACGCGGAGTTTGGTGTGCTTTTCTCTTCTTCCAGGACCTGTGTCCTGTAAAGCCATCTGCCTCGGGCGGAAATCTGGCGTACTGTCCCGCAGCGAGCTCGCACAGCGCCTCGTTAATATTTCATAGCCGAATCAGAGGTTAACATGGGGGCAAAGCAGAGCAGCCCCACTGCTAACCCAGCTGCTAACGGACGGACCAGAGCCTACTCCGGCTCGGACCTGCCCTCCAGCACGTCCGGCAGCAGCGCTGGCAGGACTGCCGCCCGGGGGGCGAGGTACCACGGTGCGTCCGGAGCCTCCGGACCCAGCACCAGCCAGCAGATCGGAGCCAGGGCCAGGTCTGTTGGGGGCTCGAGTTTAAGACCCCACTCTGGCATTAACATTCCCAACAGCGGCGGGGGCTACAGCTCCCCGGAGTCCGGCGGCAGCAGCCCAGAGGAGGCGGCGGACAGGGAGCGCTCGGGCGGAGGGCAAGAAGTTCCCCGGCTGTTGATTGGATCATTACCAGCACACCTTTCGCCTCATCTGTTCGGAGGTAAGAGCGCAGAGCCGCTCCGCTGCTGCGGTGACGCTGACGCACGGCTGTTTACAGCAGGGTACAGCGGAGAGGTTAGGACGGGGGGCAGTGGTAATCGAACAGGGTTCATTGATCGCTAGAAACGTAGTATTACAGTCAGCTGGTACTACACGAAGCATAACTGATGTGGGCCAGTTAGCGTTATGCCAAGGTGCTCCTCAATCCGAGGGAGAGTCAAATGATCGCAGAGGCGATGAACACACACCGTGTTCGTTACCTCATCGAAACTTTACAAGATTAACGAAAACCAGAGGTCAGCTCCTTCCAAGGAAAATGATCAGACTAAACGTGGAGCAGGTTTAAGTGAATGTGAAGCTCAAATAAAACATGTTTGTTTGGTTACTTTTGCAGTCGCTCTAGAAGCAAGACTCAAATAAATGCCCACATCTGTCTTGGTAAAGCCGCTACGCAGTTATCTTTGAATTATAAGTGACAGGAGCAATAATTTGCCCTAATAATAATAAATGATGACATTAATTGAGCTGCATTGATGTTACAAACTGTTCCTCTGGTGTTACTGTTGAGTCTTCAGTATTGAATGTTTGTAATGAATGAAAAAGATGCATTCAAAGGTTTGATTCCAATATGCGATGAACAGGTGAATCCAAAAGTTACGGTCAGGTGGAACATTAAGTGGTCGTCATTAGAGTGAGGAAGAATTATCAGAGATGGGCTTATTGTGTGTCAGTCACAAGTCGTTACCCAGTATTGTCAGTGGTGCCTGTGAATGTGAAGCCTGCCAACTAAATCCTCCCATTATCAGCTAACATTAGAAACCATCAGCAGATACCTGCAGACTAGCTAAGTATGTGTGTAGCCATCAAGATGTCACCCACTGGTTAGTGATGTCCAGTTAGGAAGCCTAAAGCTGCTTGCCATGTGAGGAGGGAGGGGTGGACATTTATTGGCTGATTACATGTCAGTCATGGGTGTTTTGGACCAGGGTTGGGAATGCTGGTTAAAGCTGGCGATGTTGGGCCAGACTAATACAGGGGTTTTAAGAGCGATAGCATTTCAGTATTCCGATACGTTGGGTGTCTTCTTCTCTTTCTGTCAGACACATGAAGCACACAGACACACAAACCATAAACATATTTGCCTAACATTTGTAATAGCCATGAAGTTATGCCCGTGATTGCAGTTATTTATTTACTCGTTTATGCTCTGCCCAGCTCTACAAAAAATCACAACTTTTTATTCAGAATGATACAAAATCAAAGTTTGAGGCTCTGGAAGGTGTTTCCAAAGGTCACGGCCAACCACTGTTTTCTCAGCAGTGCTGTTAAACCACAGGTATTTGACTGTGTGGCCATTAAAAAAGTGCTGCTTTTTGGCATTTCTGTGTTCACCTTCTAAACTGCCTGCGGTGATCTGACCAGCTCCCCAAACGACTTGTTAAGACTAGTTAATGTGATCCGTGGCACACATCAAACTGTGCAGCTAGCATTTCCTTTTACTGTAAGGGCCAACATGGAGGAAGTTGGTCACCCAGCTGTAACTTCACTGCCAAATATGTTTCTGAACAGTCTTGTGTTTGTGTCACAGTTTTGACTGAGCACAAGTTAGAAAGCTGACTGCAGTTCTCTGAACAGTGTCAGCGTTAATGGTTTTATGAAGTAAAACGGCGCCTTATTCTAAGCTCGACGTTGTTACAGTGATAATAGAAAAATGATCAAAAAGCGATCCACAGCCTAGCTTAGCTTCAAAGCAGCGCTATGAATTAGACACAGACAGCGATGAAGATGCTGGCCCCTGAGTGAGCGGCTCCTGCTGGCTTTAATAACAAATAATGTGTGATGGTGATGATGACTCATTTGAGCCAAGTGCTAAGATAAACAGCGCGAGCCTCCTTGTGAATGTGCTCTTCTTGGTTTCATTGATCTGCTGTGAGGGCTGTAGTGACTAATCTTCAAGCGCTCTAATGCTTCGTGACCTGAGATTGATCGGGGAACTGGGGCAGAGGTCAGATACACAGCTCGGCATGTGGCACAGAGGGAGTCGGTCTGGGAGCTGATCGTCAGCGCAGGTGAGGATCGGCTGGGTGATGCTCTCGGTGAAAACGATTCGCATGGCGCAGCACATCATCCAGCACGAGCACAGTGAGTGTGTGTGCTTGTGTCTGTTCACAGAAGGAAGACAGAAACGCTGAGTTCATTCGGGGAAGACAATAGAGCCATTTGAGATGCATTGCCCTTCTCCTGGAGAGTATTTAGCAGCAGGCGGTTCAGGCTGGACAGTGTCCAGAAGGCATCATTTTTATATTTATTTACTAGCGTTTGCTGTTGTGTTTGCTGTCTGTCAGAACAGTGACAGGTTTTATGCCTTGATCTGATCATTTTATAATCTATAGCTTAAGCACGCTCACAGAATCTGAAGATGTTAAGACAGATCAAACCAATCCAGGCGAAAATAACCTCAAGTAAAATAAAATCATTCATCTGTCTGATAAAAGTACCTTTTAAGAAGATATTTAAAAGAAGTCCCAGACTCAGCCGGTCTCGTGTCCTCAGGCAGGCCCGGGGGCTCCGGCTGCAAATGCTCTGATAAAAGACCTCTGCCTCAGGACTACTCACCACATGCTGGCTTGTCGTCTTGTGTGTGTGAGGTCAGAAATGTTGGACTGAAAAAGGCCAAGGAGGAAGTAATAACGTGGTTGACACTGAGAGCCGGAAAGTTTAACGTCAGTGATATAAGCAGATCAATGCATGTTAAGTTCATGCAGCTTAAATCATTGCTGCTGTGAAGGTGTGTGAAACGCTCTCTGTATGTTTAACAGTCAAAATAGATCCTGTCTGTGAAACAGATGTTTGTGGTGTGCTGCTCAGAAGTGTTCAGATGATTCGGCTGGTGAGTCACGTAATGAGCGCTGAGCCCCGGAGGGCAAAAACAACACTGCAACTTGTTGGACCCTGACAGTTTGTAGAAGCTGAAGCATGCCAACATTTCATTGGTTTCATTCTTATCACCTCTGAAACGGAGGGAAAAACCGATGTGATAAAACTCGCAGGTATCGTTTGATCCAGGTGCAACTGTTGCTTTCCACTCTCTGTGTTTGTGCAACACTTTGCATTTTATCATTATTATTCATCTCTGACACTTTTCCACAGTGTGTCTTTTGTGCTGTTTATTCCCCTCAGCTGATCACAGCAGATGGCCCCGCCCCTCCCTGAGTGGTTCTTCTGGAGGTTTTTCCTGTTAAAAGGGAGTTTTTTCTTCCCACTGTTGCCAGGTGCTTGTTCATAGGAGGTGGGCATTTACTCAGTATTATTGTAGATAGAGCAGGGCGATATGGCCAAAAATTTTATCACGATATATATTTGAAACTTTGCGATAACGATATAACTGACGATGTAATTGATGCGAGACAAAATACAATTCCACAACTTTACTAGCGCAAAAAAACCATCCTTTTATTTTCACTTAAACAAGCAGCTGTTTTTATGTCAATTAAAGCTTTATAAACATTTAACAGTGCGAATGCAAATTCCTTACTGAAAGTTTAACCAAAAGGCATTTCCAGTAGAAATGGGCTGACATGTCCTGAGCATAACAACAACAATCTTTATTTATAGAGCACATTTAAAAGCCTTGGGCATACCAAAGTGCTTTACATAAAACAATAAAAAATAAAACAGTTCACACATTAACATCAAATACATAAGAGTAACGGATTATGTTCACAGATAAAAGCCACCAATAAGAGTAAACTGCAGCACATAGGTTATAGCAAGGTAAGACTGTACCACCATGATAAAAGACACCAATAATGGAAAGATAGCAGAGAATTTAATACAATACAATACAATAGAAGAAGAAGAAGAAGAAGAAAGTGTGTACATTATTGTACTTTATTGAGCCCCGTGGGGAAATTGCTCTCTGCATTTAACCCATTCACTCAGTGAAGCAGTGGGCAGCCAAATAGGTCAATAGGTCACTGCAAGCAAGCCAGCATTTAACTGGTAGAAAAGGCAAGTTTAAAAAGATATGTTTTTAGCTGTGATTTAAAAGAATGAATAGAATCAGACGCCCGGATGCCAATCGGGAGATTGTTCCACAGCTCCGGTGCAACTAGAGCAAACGATCGATCACCTCTAGATTTCAGTCGAGATCTGGGCTGAACCAACAGTAACTGTGAGGATGACCTTAAAGCCCTAGCAGGAGCATATGGGTTTAAAAGTTCCTTAAGATAGCTTGGTGCAGTGTTATTGGTAATTTTAAAAGTAAACAACAAAATTTTAAATTGAATACGATATTTGACAGGCAACCAGTGCAGATCAGCAAGGACAGGAGTAATGTGGGCAAACTTCTTGGTTTTAGTTAGAATGCGTGCTGCAGCATTCTGAACTGTCTGTAATCTCTGTAAAAGGCAAGAGTGGAGACCACAATAAAGTGAATTGCAGTAATCAAGCCTTGACGTTACAAAGGCGTGGATGAGCTTTTCTAGGTCTTTATGCGGGATATAGTGCCTGGTCTTAGAAATAAGGCGAAGCTGGTAAAAACTGGATCTGACAACAGCAGACACTTGTTTATCAAGTTTAAATGAGCTGTCAAATAAGACACCCAGATTCCTAACAGTGTCAGAGAAAGAACTAGTGAGAAAACCAAAGGCATCCCGAAGTTTGGCACGAAGGGCATTACTACCAAAAATCATAATTTCGGTTTTCTTATCATTAAGGATAAGAGTATTTGCCAAAAGCCATTTCTTGACCTCACACATGCATTCTCGAAAGCTATTCAAAGACAGAGCAAGATCATCGTTTAACTCAAAATAGATCTGGATATCATCCGCATAATAGTGAAAAGCAATGTGGTATTTCTCAAAGATAGCACTTAAGGGAAGCATGTACAATGAGAAAAGGGTAGGGCCTAACACAGATCCCTGGGGGACACCACAGCAAACAGGTACAGCCGAAGAAGAGGATGTGGCCAAATGTACCGAAGAGAGCCGATTGGAGAGG